CTCCCCCCCCCCCCAAAAAAAACAAGCATCTAGTCTGAAGTGTACTAACCCATGCGCACTATTTATACACAGGACCGTTTCGGGGAACACCCGTAGTTTTATCCTTCCACAGAAAAAGGCTGCCTTTGTAGGCAAAGAATTCAACCCGTCAGCCGACACGTCTTCAACAAGATAAACAAGCAGTCGACCCTATTCACGCCCGAGTGACTATTGACACAGGAACAATGCACCTGCTGTATCGTGTAATCTAACATCAGAACATTCTTGAATGAAAAGGTAAACTTCTACCCGTTGACAATAAATAGCGCCTTGACCCGACAGCGACTAGTTATACTGTTTATTGATTATTCCTGACCTTTTCACCGCTGGAGCGGGTTTAACATTGTGGGGGAGGGAAATAAAAAAATTCTTCCTCTTCTCTTTGTTTTTAGAAGAAGAGGAAATATTACGAATCCTGTGCTTATAGATTATGTTGTAAGAACTCGATTTGAGCGCAACTGACATTGAAAAATGTAATTATGATGTCCAAGGGTGAAATTAAACACACGGGTTCAGATAGGTAGTCGCGTTAGGTAACATCCGCATCTACCGCAAATTCGTTTACGTTCACTGGGAGGGAATTTTGCGGTTTGGTAAAGTGGGAGGTTTCGTGCTGTTTAAGAATTTCCCGGTTAAAACGAGACCGTTACAGTTGTAGTACATGTCATGTACACACTCTGAAGCATTGACGGTAGCACACGGCCTCACAACAAAATGCTTACTTGGTGAACAGATCAAAGAAAAAACTTGTGGAGAAAACACAATGTTCCAAATTGTGGCAAAATAACCTGTTGGTAGCTATAGTTTACTCAATTTACTGTCTGTAGTATTGCTTACAATATGCCTCTTGTTGTAGGAAATAATAGTACACAACTGTGGTCCGCATGCCACATGCCAAGTGCATTTCGTCCATTCCGGTGCCTTTGTTGTCTTAATTTTCTTTGTTCTTTTAATTCCAACATGTAATCACCAGACGTGGTGACGACAGATTCAAGTTTCTTTAACTTATATTAATGCCGCCACCATCACAGGGGACAAATACATGACAGGACAATACTCATTTTCACCTGAGCTAAGTGAGGAAAGCCGTGTAAAGTGCCTTTCCCAAGGGCACAAAATCGGTGGTATGTCAGGACTCGAACCCGGGACTCTTCCGAGTCGCGCACTCTGCCTCTACGCCACACGACCCCACGCTATTTGCTAATTGCTAATTTCCTGGTACGGTACGGTAAAGCTTGTTGGGGCAACAGTAAGAAGGTAAAGGTAACATAGCTGCTTTATTAAGACTCTCCAATATTGATGAGTGAAGTGAGTGAAGCAGAACTTGGAGCCTCTTGGCTACCATACTATACAGCACTACTCGTTGGCAACAGAATAACATCTGCATTCATCCAATACCAACACTTTGTTATGGTTATGATACCAAGTATGAAATAGTAGTAACTTCTTAAGGTGGTCAGTAAAAACTAATGGGTCTTGAAGTTGTTCTGAATTCAGGGCGAGAATAAAAGTCCACACAAGAGTAATGACAAGCCGTTCTCATGTCCCAGATGCATTCCAGCATGTGACGTCAACGCGCCTGGCCCCGACGTGACTCAACGCACGTTTTTCTCTCACATGAGACTAACCTCCAAGCAGATCCCTTCTGGTGGCAAGACAATATCCATTAGCCTGAGGATACTGCCTTGCCACCATATCATCTGCTTGGAGATCCTAAGGAGGGCCTGCATGGGGGGGGGGGGGGCTAGAGATTACGAATTACGCAAAATTTTCGCCGCCGATTACGTAACAGTCTCAGAGCTGATTACAACTTTACACTTTGCGGCTAATGTACTGATTACGAATTACGTTGATTTTTTAGGGAGGCTGCCTACGGATTACGACGACTAAAATTTAGGCCTGATCACGCCTTACGAAAAGGGGCATGCTGGCCCCCCTTAACCTGAGGTCTTCTCAGATCGTGATTTACCTGGAATACGTACACAGAACACCTGTCCGGGGGGGCAGACAGACAGACAGGTGGGCGGCTACAGGTGACAGGGCCGCTGATATCGTCTTTTGTGTTTGCGTGTTCCCGGCCATAATTACATCCATCAGCGAACAGTGTTAGGTAAAGGTGAGGCACAACTGTTGAGTAACTCATTGTCTGATTCAAGTCAACCGTAGCTGAAATCCATGTCTGAAGTCTAAAGTGGGCGAGGGTAATTTATGAAGATCCGGCCATAATTACACCTATCAGCGATCAGTGTTAAGTAAAGGTCACGCGCAACTGTTGTGTGAACCTTCACTGTCACATTGTTTGGCATTCCCGATGCGGTCGTGTTCATCCACACAACAAAAGAGCAGAGTCGGTGTGGGTCAGGTGCTGTTCATTAAACCATTGCCCGATTCAGTTCAACCGAAGCTGAACATCCTATTTAAGTCTGAAGTGGGCGAGGCATAATCCATGAACATCCTACTTAAGTCTGAACTAGGCGAGGCATAACCTATGAACATCCTACTTAAGTCTGAAATGGGCGAGGCATAACCTATGAACATCCTACTTAAGTCTGAAATGGGCGAGGCATAACCTATGAACATCCTACTTAAGTCTGAAATGGGCGAGGCATGATCTATGAACATCCTATTCAAGTCTGAAATGGGCGAGGCATAACCTATGAACACCCTACCTAAGTCTGAATTGAGTCAACGAGGCATAATCTATAAACATCCTATTCAAGTCTGAAGTGGTTGAGGCATGATGAATGAATGACTTTATCTCAGGTATTTTACCCATGACTTTATCTCAGGTATTTTACCCATGACTTTATCTCAGGTATTTTACCCATGACTTTATCTCAGGTATTTTACCCATGACTTTATCTCAGGTATTTTACCCATGACTTTATCTCAGGTATTTTACCCATGACTTTATCTCAGGTATTCCACCCATTTCGTCTCGAGGCCAGGGACACAGGACATAAGTCAAGTCAAGTAAGTCAAGTCAATTTCACCCATAGATAACAACGGTACAAACATAGAAACACAAACTATACATACAGCATCTTATACACACACAAAAAAGAAAAATCTAGAAAGCATAACCTATGAACCCTATCTAAGTCTGAAGTGGGCGAGGCATAATCTCCAAGCAGACCTTTTGGTGGCTACAAAACCGTGCCATACGTACAGAGCAGTATCCAATACCACACCAAAACAAAAACATACCAGTGCAAAAAAAAGTCCAATACGCCACCGTTCGGGTGAAAAAAAAAATACCAAAAAAAAGATACCATTACGATAAAGAAAGCCCGGTAAAAATGCCTAGAAACACGTCAACAGTGATTACATAACAGTCTCAGAGCTGAGTTAACGACAAAGTCTAAACCTTTGTTTGGAGAGTAGAAAAATATGCCGTCCCACGAACGTGACTAGGCCCTGGCATATCATAACACATGTACCTCTACCTTGAAACTTAAAACGTGGGGTCGTGTGGCGTAGCGTGGCGTAGCGGCAGCGTTCTCGACTCGGAACCAGAGGGCCCGGGTTCGAGTCCTGACATGCCACCGATCTTGTACCTTTGGAAAGGCACTTTACACGACTTTCCTCACTTCGCTCAGGTGTAAATGAGTATTGTATTGTCCCCTGTGTTGGTGGCGGCATTAATTAATATAAGTTGAAAAAACTTGAGTGTGCCGTCACCACGTACACGTCTTGTGATTGCATGTTTCGGAATATATATAAAAAACTTAAAACGACAAACTTCTAGCGACAAAAATTAAACTCCAGACTTACCCGTGAGGAGCAGAGAAAAGCCCGCGAAATGTTTCCCGCCAAGCATGATTGACGGTTCTGCAGACGATCGGAGGTTCGCTCAGGTCTTGTCCTGGGTCCTTGTCTCGATCTGCAGCTTCAGTCGTTCTCTGCGGGTCTGCCTGGGCAGCGCCTCTCGTGACTGGTACAGTCGACTCTGGCCCGGCAGGCTCTGCCGCAGAACCGGCAGCAGTAGTCCGGTGTGGCGCTTTTCTCGTCTCGTCGTCCCTTTCGTCTGCTCCTAGCTTCTGCCTTCCTGCTCTCTCTAGCAGCTTTGAACAGTTCTGTCCCTGTGTGAATCGCGCTGCTCTCCACTTACTTCTGTCGCTCGCTGCCTTCTCCCAGGACTCGGTCAGGTATCGGGTATGATTCTGACGGAACACTTCCCTGTGCCGGCAGATCTAGAGTTGACTCTGGCTCTTCACAATAACATTGCTCCTTTTCTTTTTTTAGCATTGGTGACGTACGCACATGGGACTGTTCCATTCAGTTGGAAGGGGTGGTCTAAAGTCGACTTTTTTTAAATGGTACAGAAAGGCGTCCAAATTCTGAGATTGTGGTCAGTACATGGTGGTTATGTACTTCAAAGTTGTGTTCGAAAGTACAGGATGTCTAGTTATATCCATTACTGATGAATCGCTTCGTGGGATTCCATGGCCTCTACCAGGCTTCGGAAAGGCGGCTGGAAAGAGTAGAAATTGGCTAAATAGAGAGATAGCATGCCAGGGGAGTTGGTCTGCTGGAGAGAACAGTTTGCCGCACACTCTCCTGCGGACTACCCCTTGCATGCTATCTCTCCATTTAGCCGATTTCTAATCTTTCCACCCCCCCCCCCCCGAAGCGTGGTAGAGGCTATTTCTATACCATATGACCGTATACAGCAGACTTGTATTAGTCTAGCCACTAGTTCAAAAACACGTGTTATCACCTGACGCGACCTTGTTCCATTGCGTTGGCACATGAGTCGTACTTTGCTTCTGTCTAGGGGGCCTTGTTTTCTTCTCATGTTTCAAAAATCAATGCGTAAGCACTGAAAAAGGCTATCTTATCAATGCAGCTTCAGTCGATTATGTTATGTAATGTTTGTTGTTTGTAATGTTTGATCCACTCACAGCTGGGACTACTATATACTCTTACCAATAGGTATTTTTTTTAAATCATGGACTGTTGAACTACAGTTCAAATTGAATTACTTATCAAAGGAGCAAGAGCGGAGGGGCACTGTCCGAACACGTACCCAGCATTACAAACATGCCGTACAAGTAAACAAGGTAAAACAAATAAAAGTAAACGCCCACCTAGTTGATCTAAGATAGAAAACAGGTCAAAAACACAGTAGTAGAATATTGTCTTATATTATGTATCATAGAACTGTACTTTGTAACCAGTTACAACATGTTATCTTTATTTCAGGTCTGGTATTTCAAGTAGACTTTCTTTATTTGGTTTATTTGACGATGTATCTGTGGGTTATCTAATACGAGTCACGACTGCCTTGATAACCTGATCGTTGTGTCACTTGCTGTAAGAGATTCGGCCGGGGACTGGGAGACGTCGAAGAGGCTCGGACCTAAAATCGTAGCCTCTACCAGGCTTGGGGAGGCGGCTGGAAAGAGTAGAAATTGGCCAAATAGAGATATAAGCATGCCAAGGGAGTTTGTCCGTTGAGAGAACATTTTGGGGTGCGGCGAAACAAGAAAGAAAGAAAGAAAAAAGAAGGAAGGAAGGAAGGAAGGAAGGAAGGAAGGAAGGAAGGAAGGAAGGAAGGAAGGAAGGAAGGAAGGAAGGAAAGGTATGGTGAGTTGTTTAACGTGTTCGTTATTTGGCTCCTCTTAAACACCATGCAATAGTATATCCCTACCATACAATAGTATATCCCTACCATACAATAGTATATCCCTACCATACAATAGTATATCCCTACCATACAATAGTATATCCCTACCATACAATAGTATATCCCTACCATACAATAGTATATCCCTACCATACAATAGTATATCCCTACCATACAATAGTATATCCCTACCATACAATAGTATATCCCTACATACAATAGTATATCCCTACTCGCAGCGAGGCAGCTAGGGTCTCATGTTTACATGAGTGAAGTGGGGAATTGGTGTTCATTGCGTTCCCCAAGAGCAAAGCACGCGGCATGCGGGCGGTTTTAACCTCAAACATCTTGATTCGTGGGCAAACACCCTAACCAAAGTACACTCTGGCATGAGTCCAACCATTACGCCACACAACGCCACTTCTGTTGACACTATTGTAGATTGTTCCACCCTCTGTAAAGCTGGGGACACAACCCGCCGTACGTGCTTTTTGTCCGTACGTTTTTTGGGAGGCTACGTCTGCTACGTTTTTTCTGAAAACGTGGGGAAAGAGTGGTGTCGACGCACGTCACTCGCATGTCACTCACACGGTTGCGCAAGGTGTAAGAGTGTGGTCTGCACGCCACGTCTGGCCGTGAGCGGTTGCGCGCGTCGTACGTTGCGCAAGTGGTGAGTTGTACGTGCTTACAACGCACGATCTCTGTGCGGTTGCAGCTTTACCGTAAGGAGGCCGTACTCACACGTGCTTCTTCCGCACGGCACGTACGGGGCACGCGCGTCGCTCGTACTCGCACGCACGGGTGGTGAATCCGCAGACCGCACGTAGAAAAAGTTTTACATGCACTTACAAAAAGTTTTACATGCACTACGTACAAAAAGTTTTTCTACGGCGTGTCTGCGTGCTCCCAAATCCGTAGGATTCCGTGCGGAGGCGGCACTCACCACGCACGGATGCCCTACGTTTGACCACGTTTTTGCACGTAGAAAGCACGCAGAAGCACGTACGGCGGGTTGTGACCAAAGCTTAAGGTGGCCTCCTTGCGAAAGGACAGCTCAGTAGTTTTTTTTTACATTATCTGTACATACTTTGATATTTTTTAGATGTGTTTGTGTCATGGTGTGTGTCATGATAGTTATGTGTATACTATCGGCCGTCGAGTCTTGGTCTAACCATTACGCCACACAACGCCATTTCTGAGGATAGAGCTGGCATCAGCACAGAACAATAAGCAAACACTAGCCTCCACCAGGCCTTTCTACGGGAATACGGATCGTAGAATTCGGCAAAAAGGAGAGTAAAATCGGCCAAAGGAGTCCGGCCGCGGGGAGGTAGTTTCTTTCCCTCCGGCCAGTCAAACCTACAAGGCGGCCAAACTCCCCTGGGAAATATTCTCCTATATATAGCCAGCGCAGTTAGTCTGGTAGAGACTATGCAAACACCTGCAGGGTCAATAGTGTGGGAATATAGTGACGGAACTGTTCTCTGAGTCCGCCACCACCAGCTATCATCAAACTGTTGCTCCGTTCGGAGGTCTTCTCCTCTGGCCTGTTCTATTGACACTATCGTACTAGATTGTTTCGCCCACCGACAGCTCGGTAGTTTGTTTGTACATTTTTCTCTGTACATACTTTTTCATTAATGTCTTTGTGTCATGGCATGTGTCATGAACTGCGTAAACTATGGGCCGTCGAGCCTGAAATAAACAATGAAAATGTACTCCTTGGTCTAAACATTACGCCACACAACGTCTCTTCTCAAGCTAGAGCTGGCATCAGCACAGAACAATGTGCAAACAAACACCTGCAGGGTCAATAGTGTGAGAATATAGTGACGGTACTGTTCTCAGAATCCGCGACCACCAGCTGCCCGCCCGGGGCCACTGCCACGCTGTCTGCCCGGAACCTGCCGGACACAACCCGGCGGACGTACCGCCCGTCTTCCGTAAACTTTTCCACGTTCCCGCCGGCCCCGACAGCCACCAGGACGTTCCCCGAACCGTCCGTACAGACTCCCGTCGCCACGACTCTCGCCCCTCCAACAGTTCTCCCCTGGTCCCCACCGAGTTTCGAGATTTCCTCACCCCCAAAACTGAAGAGATAGTGGCCAGTGTTGTTATAGACATGCACACGTGTGTCCCCCCAGTGGTCGCACACAAACAGGTTTCCCTCCCTCCCCACGGCGACTAACCCAGGGTACCCGGAGCTATGCTGCACTCGGAACCTGCGCAGGACACTGCCGTTAAAATGCAGAAGCTTCACTTCACCGTAATCAGCCCAGAACTCCGTCGCCACGACGAGACGACGCCGAGAGTCCACCGCGACACCGCAGAAGGAATTGTTAGCGAACGTCGGATGGAGCGTTGTCAGGCGGTGCCCCGTTTTCGTGTACCTAATGATATACCCGGTATCCAACAGGTCGTCTGTATTCCCATACACCCACAGGTGCCCCTCCCCGTCTATAGCGATGTCCTCGGGTTCTATCGTCCCGAACCCCTCCCCTACGACGGCCGAGAAATGGCGGAGGTACACCCCCCTCATGCTGAACACTTGGACTCGCCTGTTGTGGAAGTCAGCCACAAACAACTCGTTGCTAGGCGACACGATGACAGCACTGGGATAGGAGAACTGGCCCGGCTCTTCCCCTTCTCCGCCGAAGACAATCCTCGTTTGTTTGAGATCTTCATTTTCGTCGTCTGAGGAAGATTCCGAAAAAAAAAATGATACCAATCTTACTTCGAGGCGAAACATGCGAGTTTGAGTTCAGAAAACAAACATAGAGTTTATTGCAAATTCATGCCCGAGGGCTGATTGCAAGAACACGATAACAACAATAATCAGTAAAAATGATAATAAGTAATGCTAATGCTACTTTAGATATGCATTTGTAGTTATTATTGGGTTTGATTTCTTTTCGGTGTGCCGTATAACCGTATAACCTATTGAACCTTGATGTACCGTGATTCAAAGGTAACCTCTTATATTTCAGTAGCAGTACAATCATTAATTCATGAATATTTCAAATCACAATCTTTCATTCATGAAAAAAGGCAATGCATGAATATCTGTTCAGATGCATCTGAGAATGACATGATTTTGTCCACATGGCCAACTCATGCTTCGGTGCCAGTACCAAAAAGGAGCACTGATTCAGAGATTCGGGGGCCAAAATCGAATTTTTTGTAAAAAAAAAAAAAAATCCCGTAAACTACCCGGTCGGGCCCCTTTAGCAATTGTGATGTAAGCATTCCTAACTAGTACATGTATCACCTTTAGTTTGCGGAGATGTCGGACGATCAGCATACTGGGTTACGTCCTGTGTGGGTTTACCCGTGACGCTGCGGTCTGCCCATGTCTGAGGAGAACAGAAACAAAGTCGTTTAGAACCTGAAAAAGTCGTTGAAAAAACATCTAACAAGTAAAGTCACACCTAGGAAATACATTTTACCTTTATAGAGCTGTGCCTGGGGCAAATCTTCGTTCTTGGATACCTGGAGATTATCCCAAACCGTGCTTGATCCTAACCCTAACCCATTCAGGCATGGAACTATACAGGCACCTGTCTGAATACGATAGATACTGACCTGCTCCCCCGTCATGAAGGTCGCTAGTAAGAGAGCCGCTAGGACCGCCAGTGTCGCCACGACCACGCACGTAGTGATGACACCGGCAAGGCAAGACCGGGTTACAACACACCTACAACCTGAGAAGCAAGACCGGGTTACAACACACCTACAACCTGAGAGGCAAGACCGGGTTACAACACACCTACAACCTGAGAAGCAAGACCGGGTTACAACACACCTACAACCTGAGAGGCAAGACCGGGTTACAACACACCTACAACCTGAGAGGCAAGAAGGAAAATCGTGGGGTCGTGTGGCGTAGCGGCAGAGTGCTCGACTCGGAACCAAGAGGTCCCGGGTTCGAGTCCTGACATGCCACCGATATTTTGCCCTTGAGAAAGTGGGAAAGGCACTTTACACTACTTTCCTCACTTCGCTCAGGTGAAAATGAGTATTGTATTGTCCAGTGTGTTAGTGGCGGTATTAATATAGGTTGAAAAAAACCTTGAGTGTGCCGTCACCACGTCTTGTGCTTTATGTGCTTTATGTGCTTTATTAAACTCCATTAGATGTTGGAATATATAAAAAAAGAAGAAAAACATTTCCGATCAACATTATCACTACAGGCAGCGGATATCACAGCGACTCCACTCTGGGCATTCATGGTGGCGTGAAGTTTCCTTCGTTATTGAGGAATCTGTGGGGTAGTCCCTTAAGTTAGTAAACATAACCAAGAGAAATACCCTGATGAAGATGGCAGAAGGTCATCGAAACGTCGGCTTGAAAAATAAATGGTTGTGATAGAAAGAACTTTGCTATTCAATAACCAAGAGAGTTTCCAATTAATAGACATGTACAAGAGCAGGTTTTCAACAAAATCGAAGTAAAAATGGTCTTCAGGGAGGAGGAACCTTCCTCATACCAGCCAGGTCTTCTCCCAACATCCCTGTCATTTGCAGTTTATAAGAGGGGGGGTGTCTTTTTTACAAGGCAAGGGTACCAATATAACTATAGTAGCAATGCCTCATCCCTAGCCACTTCAGCTACACTGTTTATAAAACCGATCACAAGTTACACTGCAAGAGAAATTTGATTTACCCATGCATACAGCACATAAAAGTTAAGTAAAGTTGGATAACATTTACTTTGCAAACAGTATCTGGGAGTAAATAAAACCACCTTTGAGGTATGTCCAATGATGTTTGCACGGTAAACACTTCCCGACTATACCGGCATTTACCATTCATAAATCCAACTCTTGGCACAGAGTCAGGACATCACCTAGTTCCCTCTGGAGATAATAAATAAAGAAGTGTGCTGTAACTACGTGTTAATCAAGTACCCACCGGAGCCACGTATGGATAGACGCCAGCAAGACACGATACCACGTACATTTCTTTGTCACTGAACACACAGGTGCAGAAAACAATTGTCAAAGTAACATCTTAGTAGAGCAACAGTGGTGGGACCTTAAATCATAGGATACCTTACCTCCACCTGCCCTTGGTTGCGCAACATTTGGGGCGTACATGGGGTTCGAGCGTAGACCGTTCCCGCTGTACATGGGGTTTGGTTGTAACGCATTTCCACTGTACATGGGGTTTGGTTGTAACGCATTTCCGCTGTACATGGGGTTGGGGAGCAGTCCGACCTGATTGCTGCCAACAGTCACTGCAGAAGACATTAGTACATAAGTGTCCCGGTGTTTTGTGCCACCCCATATCTTTGCGCATTACCAGTACGTATCGCTTAGCGTAATAAATAGCCTGGTATCCAGTCTGATCGTGGTCGGGGCCGTAAGACCTCGGGGTCGTAAGAGCTCTGGCCCGCCCGCCTCACATAGGTTTCCCGGTGTGTATTTCACGAGAGATTAATTAGCCCTCCACGTGTTGGGGGGAAACTAAATCCCCGAGCATACTGTCTCTTATTAACGTAACACTCCTACCGGGACGGTCTGTTGCACTGGGCGGGGGAAGCTCCTAGAGCCCCCGAAGACACAACCTGCCTGAACACCCCAATACCCCCAATCACGATCAGACTGGATACCAGGCTACGTAATAAATGATAAGAATAAACATATACCATAGACATGTATTATCTAACTCTACAGATCTATAGACTAAGGCCATTTCAAAAAAGGTGAACGGCGAGAACTACGTATATGGAAGGACTGTGAAAAAGATTTGGTTACTCATCAAATATCTACGCTGTTCTACACCCTAAGCCTGTGGTAATAAACCAATACTGTATACCGTGTATAGAAAAAAAAACTTCCCATGATCGAAATTGGTTTGTTAGATATAATTTTTCCCTTCTATTTCAGTGGTGGCTAAACATGGAATAAGCTACCTCGTGATTGTTTCCCATATGAGTATAACCTTAAACTTTTCAAGTCTAACGTCAACAAACATTTGTCCTCTCTGGCTGTACTGTAACCAAAAACATTTTGAGTGGCTCTCGTGAGCCTTGTTTATGTGGTGACCTATGAAGTAAATAAAAAAAGAAATGCTAAATCGGCCTTCTGGAACTTCCCATTAGGTTGTAACTAACTGTGACGAAGTTAACTTACCGGAGCCGGCGGTAAGTTGTCCACAGACAGAACGGCCAGTCGGTGTATCGTTCTCATAATGTCCTTCCTGTTCGTCATACGCCACGGCGTACGGTTGGATGTCAAAGTCTCCGTCTCCTCCGCCGTTTGTGTGGCCGTACCGCTGGTTCGCGACTGCGTACGGGCGGATATACTCATCGTCTGCATTGCCTTTATCCTCTGATTTGTTCTGATCGGAATTTTCAACATCCGTCAATGGTGTGACGACAGGCTCTGATCGAGCTTCACACTTGTCAGAGTCTTTTTCTTCTCCGTTTGCATCATCAGTTTCGACACGTGGACGGTCCACATTGGCAACATCGGAATCTCCACTGCACTGATACACAGTGGCCGATGCCTGTTTGCGACAATCACTCTGCTGGTATTGCACTGCGTTATCCGCGTTGTAACCTTCGGTATTGTAGATGTCTTCAGGCGAGAGCTCTTCTGCTTCTACGTGCGGGTTACCAACGTATAGCGCCTGTTCCTGTTCAGCTTGGTCCAAGCGTGGATCTAAACTGTAGACTGTAGGCTCTACTGTAGGCTCTTCAGTGCTATTGTACAGTGCCTGGTTCTGTTCAGTTTTGCCGATGTCTGTGTAGGAAGTGCAGACAGTCGGTAGCCCTGAACGTTCTGCTCCGTAGTCACCTGCAGGTCTCTCATCCTGGTCAGAGTGTCCGGCCGAAGCGTCGCTATGAAGGTTCTGCAATGGGTCTTTCATGTGGCTAGGTGAGGTGTCACTCCGCTCCTGCGGCCTGGTTGGGACGCAGTGGGGCTGGATGTCCTGTTGATCCACAGGGTCTGTTGCAGAGTCGCAGATATGAGTGGCATCTGTGTCTGTGGCTTCCGTGTTGTCGGGAATTCCATGACCACTGCCGCTGGTTGAATCCACATCAGGTGTCTTGTTCATCGCATCCCTCGTAAGTTTCAGTCAGGGCAGTGACGAAAACATTTTCACATCTGTACAATCCGCACTTGTGTATCTGCCGAAAAGGCGAGGACCACAAGAAAACCAGTCGCGCTGTGCAGTGATTTCGCTATATGGCTTTCTTGTAGCCTTAATACATAAACAGTTGCGAACAGATTGATGAAATAGGGTCAGTAGACAATCATCGCGTGCAATTTATAGGCGATTTGTCGTCCCGCATAGATCCCTATTGGTCTGGCTAATAGCTCCAAATAGATGTTATTGGTCTGGCGTACAGCAGAAACCAATAAGTCCCGAAGGACAGGTGATTGCAATATTTAGGGCACAGTTGTAACTTTAGATTGAACAATCACCCATGTCGTACAAGGCTGCAAAGTAGTTTACCTGATGTAAAACTTTGCTTGCTGTTATCAATGAGATCTTTATAGAACCGACTAGGCGCATCTCTCACATACTAATTTCTCATTGAAGTCGCCTTTAGTCTCTTTGATAATAACTGTAAGACTTGAACCATATTCTCCATCAGCTCACGAATATCATCTATATTAATAGTTCAACAGTTTTATTCAGAAAATCAGCCTCGCAACATCTAAACCAAGCTGAATAACACTGATTTGTACAATCATTACATTGCCTTTTATTTATATTCTGTGTGCTGCTTATGACATGATATGTACACTACAAGATTTAGAAGTTTATTTCCACATTAAATTCATTGATATCCTGAACATATTCGAGGCTTGTAGAATCTTTAATTATTCCACAAAAGGTGTTGGCTATCAAATTCCACTTCCAGCTGGGGCCATGCGTGCCCCTAAGGAACCTCGCAGATCACCTAGAGCAGAATTGTGTCTTTTGCTTGTCCTTACATTTTCATTTCTTCCTACCATTTTGCACCAGGCTTTGCAGATTTCAGGTCTAACAAATGCTGCATTTTTTTACTGATGACCAGCATTAACCAAAAAAAAAAACAGCATTCAAAATAACTCCCAAAAGAAAAATAGGTAAAGGCAAAAAAAGATGTGCAAGGCAGAATAGCTCCAGCCAAAGATCTGGCACTGGATTATGGACAACCATGTTGGTTCTGACCTGAGATGCTGCAGACACCAATGATGCAACTGATGCTACTTGACACTGCTAATTCTGCAGATGCTTGTGATGCTGCTGAAGATGCAAGATGCTGCCAATGCTTCAGATGCTGATTATGCAGATGCTTCTGATGCTGCAGATGCTGATTATGCAGATGCTTCTGATGCAAGATGCTGCATATAGTGCTGATGTTGCATATGCTGATGATGCTAATGATGCTGATGATGCTAATGATGCTGATGATGCTAATGATGCTACAGATACTCGAATGATGCTACTGATGCTGCTGCTGCTATGGCCAAAGCAGAAAGGTGCTGCAGATGCTAATGATGCTAATGATGCTGATTATGCAGATGCTTCTTATGCTGCTGCTGCAAGACGCTGCAGATACTGCTGATGTTGCAAATGCTGATGATTCTGCAGCTGCTGCTGCTGAAAATGGTGATGCTGCTGCTAATGCTGCAGATGCATCAGGCGCTGCTGCCACCTCTGATGCTGCAAGAATAAGCGCTGCTGATGTTGATGCTGCTGCAGATGCTAATGATACTGCAGATACTGTTGATGCTAATGATGCTGAAGATGCTGCTGCAGATGCTACTGATATGGCTGATGCTGAAGATGCTTCTGATGCTGCAGATGCTGCAAGATACTGATGATCCTGCTTTGGCCAATGCTGCATGATGATGCTGATGTTGATGATACAGCTGCTGCTGCTGCAAGATTCTGCAGGATGCTGAAAGATACTGCTGATTGTGATGATGATGTTGCTACTTCATGGGTGAGAAAGAAGTGGGCAGGAGGATCTTGGACCACTGGTGAACCAGATTTGGGGCACTCTCTCGGGCTGGGAAAAGGGAGAGAGGAAAAGTAAGTATCAAACACATACTTTATAACAATGTCTTCCTCTTATTTCTGAAAATAGTTTCATCAGGTTGGTCAAGTATAGGATGCAGCAGTTTTATTTTACACAAGCAATTTTCTCACCTAGAGTGCTGACGTTTTGATGATGTCTATCAGACACCTTCCTCAGAGCTTCTGACTGGAGTTCTGCTTATCATCGCTATATGTAGCTGATGTAGGCGGTGCTTTAGCGGAAAGAACACTCCCAATTGATTCTGTTCTTGCCGTTTATTGCGGATTCTGTTCTTGCCTATTATTATTAAGATATGGACTTACAGGCTGCTATAATTGTAGGGTCCTGGGCCGCTCTGGCTCTTCCCAGCATCCTCTGGTCCAAGTCCTGATGGTGCCACAGCATGTAGACTGGTCATGTGACACAAACAACAAGATTTTAGAATGAGGTAGGTTATTGTCATCCCCAAAAAAACTTTACAAAGTATAGCTGTTTTCATACTACTGTTTAGGTACAACAAGGTTACGTTATAACCACAGCATGGCAGTAGCTAACAGTGGTAAAATCACTAGTATAATAGAGAGTCAGTAGGAAACACAAAAGCTCTTAAACAACATTATGCTGACACCATTGAGCCCCTATAGCATGATTTTTTTCAGTCTGCAAAATTGAAAGGTTGCTGACTTTTTTCTTCTGCAATATAGAAAATGTCTCTGCAAAATGCAGACTGCAGGTGGGTATTTCTAACACTGTCTACGGGCTATACAAAGTTGGTGTGTTAATTCCAAAGGGTGGTTAAGCCGGCCATACAAATATAGAAGGTACAGATACATACTATTGTCTAGGTACAAGATTACATTGTTAACCACAGCATGGCAGTATCTAACCACACTCACCTCTGTTGAGCTCGCCGAACTCGCTGCTCCAGACTCCCAGCAGGTCTGCGTACCTGAAGGCGGCGCGAGCCTGGATGGTTCTTCTGAAGGGCTCCTGCAGGTGTGACCCTGGGGTCATCCAGTAGGACCGCAGCTCATAACAACCTGTAACATACAGTCTTTTATACTTCATTGAATTTGTAGCAAACTAAACCTATATATATTTTCTTTAATCCTTCTCCCTACTGCCTAATCATGTACCCAAAGAGAACTGGTAGCAAAAAAGCTACAATAGTGTGCTAAAGGTTTAGTTTTATTATGATAATCTTTAGTCTCGAAGCAAAGGCTTCAGCTTATATTATTTTGGATATCTTTTGGGGAATTTTTACCTCATTTCTTGTACTAGCTTAAGTATCTCTTAATTGTAATTCACCAGCCAAATGGCAGTGTATTGGGTACTGCCCTGTCAATTTGATACTGTCTTGCAGCCACTAAAAGATCTGCTTGGAGATGATCCCACCTGATCTCCAGGTGTGTCTAAGTACTAGTGGCTCTGCAGGGTTAGCGTTAGGGTTAGCTGTACATGTATAATGTTAGACTCCTGTTGTGTCTAGTTACTTGAGCTGGATTCAGGGCAGGGTGAGGGTGAGTATAAGGGTAAGGGTAAGGGTGAGGGTGAGGGTGAGGGTGAGGGTTAGGGTTAGGGTTAGGGTGAGGTTGAGGGTTAGGGTCAGAGTAAATTGTACCTCCTATTTTGTCTGGGTACTTCAGCTGGCTCCATGGCAGGGTTACAGTGAGGGTTAGGGTGAGGGTGAGGGTGAGGGTCAATGTGAGTTGTACCTCATGTTGTTTCTGGATATTTCAGCTGGCTCCATGGCAGGGTTAAGGTGAGGGTCTCAGGGTGAGGGTTATAGTGAGGGTTAGGGTGAGGATGAGGGTTAGGGGGAGGGGGAGAGTTAGGGTCAGGGTTTAGTGTACACATGTGAAGGTGAGAGTAAGTTGTACCTCCTGTTGTTTCTGGGTACTTGAGCTGGCTCCATGGCAGGGTGAGGGGTAAGAGTTAGGGTGAGGGTTAGTGTCAGTGTAAGTTATACCTCCTGTTGTTTCTGGGTATTTCAGCTGGCTCCAGGGCAGGGGCAGCAGGAGGACGTTGTCTTGACTCTCCACTGTCGGCAGAAGCTTGTTCAGCGTGCTCATCCACCCCGTGTGTGCCGACCGCGCCTTCCCAACCTCCGTCCTGTGCGCAAAGTCGTCTGTAAAGGAACAAAAGGAAAGTGATCTCAATGAAATTGTAGCTCACTGAAAAGCTACTCTCCAAGCAGAGGTTGTGGGGGAATGATCGTTAGCTTTTTATATATGGCCGTTTTTTGTCGCTACCCCCACCGGTCAGTGGCCGGCGACCTTCTCTGGCTAATGGATACTGCCTGGCCATTTTGATACTGTCTTTTTGCCACCGAGAGGGATCTGCTACTGAAAAGCTACGTTTCCACTGGTCGTATTGTGACTGAGAAGACAGATGCCATGTACAGAATTTACAGCTACATTCATGTACCAGGAAAATAATCCCCATGCCCGCCCTCCAGAGCTCCATGGTTCAGACCCCCCT